TCTGTTTTCATGAGAAGCCACTTTGAAGATATCAATATGTAATACAACCACCATTGTTAATTCCCTACCACTTTGTTTGTAACTCTGTATTGTGCTTGTGATATGTTGTAAAATGTTGTATGTCTATTAATGTTTCCCTCCTTTTATCTTTAAAATAAAAAAAAAATCATTTCATTTGTCTCATTTATTTAAGCCTTCTCCATCCACTTGTTTGGGAGATTGTGGGCCTGACTAGCCTGCAATAGCTACAAATTAATAACCCGACAGGCCTGTAGTTCGCTTTTTTGGTCGGATCCTTCTCTGGTTTTGGTATCAGGGTAATGCTGGCTTCCAGGAATGAATTAATGAATTTGGGAGTACTGCTTCCCTTTCAATTTCATTAAAGAGTTTGGGAAGTAGCAGCACTAGGTCGTCTCTAAATTTCTTATACAATTCAGCAGGGAATCTGTCAGAGCCTGGGCTTTTCTTTGTTGATAGGTTTTTAATCACCTTTTCAATTTCATTGACTGATACTGGGTCATTTAGAATTTTTATATGTTCTTGATTCAGTGTTGGTAATTCATATGTATTTAAGAATCTGGCCGGGTGTGGTGGCGCACGCCTGTAATCCCAGCACTCGGGAGGCTGAGGCAGAAGGATCATTGCAAGTTCGAGACCAGCCTGGGCTACAAAGTGAGCTCAAGGCCAGCCTGAACTGCATAGCGAGACCCTGTCTCAAAAAAACAAAAAAACAAAAACAAAAAGAATCTGTCCATTTCTTTTATGCTTTCCTTGTTATTAAAATGCTGGTTATTGAAGTAGGCACTGATGACCTTCTGGATTTCTTCAGGATGTGTTGTGATCCTGTGTTTCACCCTTTTCATTTCTCATTGCATAGGTTTGAGTGTTTCTTTTCATTTTTTTGATAAGTTTGGCTTAGAGTTTGTAATTTTTATTTAATCTTTCAAAGAACCAAGTCTTCATTGACTTTTTATTGGTATATTTTATTTATTTAATTATTT